TGAATGTTTGTATGTCTGTATGTCCGATATACAAATTCGCAGTAGTTCACTAATTCAAACCAAAATTTCCATACATAGGTAAAAGAATACGGGGAAGACGATAGGCTATTTTAAAAAATATATAAATCAATTATTAAAACTATATATTCAAATTATTCAACTTAGCTCACAAACAGCGCCCTCTAGAACGCGTGGGGATCTGACGGCGGCGCGCGCCCATTGGCTGCTTTATACTCTTTACTTTTGTTTAGCTTTTAAATAACATATTTTTTCTCTACTTTGCCTATTTTTATTACTGTTTTATACTCTTTTCTTTTGTTTAGCTTTTAGAGATCTGAGATGCCTCCCAAGAAACGCAAACCTGTTGGAAAAGTCCTACCAGAAGTGATTAAAAAAAGAAATGTGCGAAGTGCTGAGACTGCTGTGCAACGTGAGCATCGTCTTAGGATTAATCGAGAAAGGGCCAGTACTTCGAGAGCGGCGGAATCCGTGGGACAGCGTGAGAACAGGCTTCAACAAGATAGAGACTAGGCCAGTACCTCAAGAGCGGCGGAATCCGTGTGACAGCGTGAGAACAGGCTTCGGCAAAATAGAAACAGGGTCAGTACTTCGAGAGCGGCAGAAACCCGACAAGAACATACGGCCAGGATTCTGAATGTCAGGGAAAGAACTTTGGCCTAACGAAACTCGCGTGATAGACTTTCCAATTTACTTTTAGAAGGTTTTAATTATGATTCGTGCAAAAATTACGAACAACACCCAATGATATTGCTGTATCATGTTTGATTATCAGATACAAAATTATAACGGGAAAATTTTCCAAAAGCAGAGACCACGGGTGAAACCAGTTCATTATTTTGTATGCAGGAACAAAATTCTAACAGAAAAACATTCATTCGAGCAGAAAACAAAAGCCAGATCATCTTTCTATAAAAATATCGCTTCTCAGACACAAAGTTTGGAGCGGTACGTTTCACAAGATTGACATCCACGGCGCCAATTTATAATTGTAACGAATAGTATTTGAATAGGGTACATTTAATAGGGTAAAACCCGGGCGTTGCCCGGGTCATTCGGCTAGTATACTATAAATACTGAATCTATTCTTCTGAAAATAAATTAATGTTTCTAAAATTCTATGGGCAACCGAAAATTACGTAGTCTTCACTACAAATTCTCTAAAATTCTTATTAGAGAGGATGCCCCTGTACCCCCACAATTCCAGCTATTTCACTTTCTGGAGGCTCTTTCCATTGGACATTTCAATCAAAGCACATCTGACCTACAAGGAAGCATTAAAAGAGACACGTCCAAGGACGCCGTCCACTATCCACCCCATAGAAGGCTATTTCAGGTTTCAAAGTCGCCTCCAGAAAACACAACCACAATATACACTGATGGATCGCGGTCGCCCAACAGTATAGGCGACTCAATTATTCAGCCACCTCCCTACACCACAATACACCTAAAGCTTCATGATCATTGTACCTCCTTCCAAGCCGAATTACCTTCTATCCTATACGCAACCAGAGCTATCTAGCTCATTCCAAGATAGCCAACAGCAATTGTTTCTGATTGTCTTGCAGTCCTCCTGCCAATTGTAGCCAAGAACTCCTGAAAACCTCACTCATAGCAGAGAGATAGTTCGCAATCTAAACTATTTAAATATAGCTCTGCTGGGTTAGAGGCTACAGCGGTATAGAAGGCAATGAGCAAGCAGATCAATTTGCAGAGTTAGCATCTCATTCCAACCCGCCGTATTCCCTCCAAATTTGGAATGCACTCTATGACATACATCACTCCTCAAGAAACCTCAGAGAATAGCTGCATCCCCAAACACTCTCATTGCGATCCTACCCAAAATAAAGTTGTATGGTACCGCCTCTACAATCCACACAGGTTACGGCTTTGCCAAAGCGAATGCTGCAAAAATATCAAAAGACGATCCTACCTGTCCACATTGTCACGAGGAAGACCAAACTGTCGATCACCACAGATGTCCCGCCTACCTCCTTCATAGATTACAAAACGGCCATCCTCCTAGAAATAAGTATATTTACCCCTGAAGACCTACAGAACCATACAGTACATCTGGTAAACTGGATGTCCACCTTTAGACGTGTCAACCCGGATAGTTGGTGACTTTAGTACGTGGTGGATCCAGGAATCCGGGTTATATCAAGAGAGATATAATAAAACTTGAATATAGCTCAGAAGGGCTGTCGTTCTAGAACAGTATGTAAATATAGGTAAAGTTTTAACAAAGCAGCTTAGATGTGACTCTGTCGTTCTAGACCTGTTCAAAAACCGGGATGATGTTCTAGATCATGTAGAAGTTTGGTATTTTAGAAACTATTTCAATACTGCTCACAATGCATGTTTACAAAATGTCATAATTCTAGGTGTCCGTAGTGTGGTACGGAATAGGCTAGAGAATATAATTCGATTATTTCTTTCCAAACGATAAAAACTAGGTGAAATGTATGTATGTTGCTGTAAATGTCATCTATAATCATCTAAATAAATGCGATGTATGTGTTCATTGCACGATTTCAACTCAGAAAATGTTTGGAGTTGATATTTGATTCTTCAAGTGTTTGTTCAAAACCTCGAATTGTGGCGTATTGGGCGGATGTCTACTGTGATATTACGAATGTTCAACCTCCCAAACAAAATTTATGATCATTTTTATGCGATTATATCTTTGCAGATTTTCCCATATGAATACTTACGAATTGTGTCTGAATACCTTTTGGTTCTTTCTGTAATATGCAGTCTTCGGATCTGAAGAACCCAGCTCTATGCAGAAACCATCTGTAACCTACATTCTACACCCAATATACAACACCGCTGTGTCAAAGGTCACAGAGGTACTCCGGGATAAGAACTAGCAGATCAAGCAACTAAGTCTGCTGCACATTCTATCTTTTATCCCTGTCTCAACTCCGCCTTTGCCAGTCCCAAGCCCGGATGAAAAAGGAGGAGGGGGAACAGTAACAAGCTCACTAAAAAACCTTGGTTCAGCTGGCCCGGCTGATAGTGCCCTGTAAGGGCTCCTAAGCCAGGGATACAGGATGAGCAGCGTTTGTACTCCATGTTAGGAGCGGCTGTACATGGCGTCTGTTCCTCATGTCAAAGGCGGCCATTTATTTTGGAGCTAAGTCGGCCTGCCACTGAGTAGTGCTTCCAGTATTAATGACAAAGGCAGACGCATTCTACTTCACCCAGCCATGATGGTTGTCAAACAGACGTCATCAAGGGTCACAACTTGATACCCTAATATGATTGAGTGGAGATAAGAAAGAAGAAGAAGATCCCTGTCTATCATAACCCTTCTATAAAGTGCCACCCTCAATAAAAGAACTCAGACAATACAGAATCTATGGATAGACCTAAAATTATAGAATACTCAACCAGCAATCTTAGAAGAGGTAAAGCCACGCCAAATATTTTAATCTCCAGCTTCCAAAACCTAGCATGAGGGCCTTTCAACAACCATCCTAAATGGCCATGGCTATGCATAAGCATACTACGCGAACATTTTAAAAGAAGGGATCCAATTCCTCCCCAACTACTAGAATTAAGACCAAACAGCGGATCATTTCCTCTTCATTTGCTCAGTCTTCCAATACCTAAGTATTCAGATGGCCCCTCTCATAAGAATTTCCAAAATCGACCTGATTTTGCTGGAAAATTTCCCTAGAAATAAATCTGCTAAATCTTTAGCCCCTTTGAATTTCGTAATCTTCAAATTTATAAATCTACTAGCCGAATTACCCGGGAAACGCCCGGGTTTTACCCGATTAAATGCTTTTATTCAAATACTATTCGTTACAATTATAAATTGGCGCCGTGGATGTCATTCTTGTGAAACGTCCCGCTCCAAACTTTGTGTCTGAGAAGCGATAATTTTATAAAGAGATGATCTGGCTTTGTGTCTTCTGCTCGAATGAATGTTTTTCTGTTAGAATTTTGTTTCTGCATACTATAAATGAACTGTCTTCACCCGTGGTCTCTGCTTTTTGAAAATTTTCCCGATATAATTTTGTATCTGATAATCAAACATGATACAGCAATATTGTCATCATCATTTTCTGACCAAAAAACAACTATTTTTGCCCAGAACCTGTCAATTTCAATTTTTCTTGGCTAAAAATCCGATAAATATATCTTCCAGATTTTTCTCTATGTCCTGTTAAAACACGTTTTACATGTACATTAGGTCAGATGATATTACCTCTCATTTTCACCCTAGAGGCGCTGCTTGCGAGCGAAAGGGCAAATTTGCAACGCAAATTTGCAAACAACTCGAAGAATATTCGGGATAGAGACCTGAAATTTTCGCTATAAGTTTTTCCAGATATACTGTTATATACTATATATACTGTTAAAATTTCAGTCAGATTAGTTACGTTTTGTGGACGTGTATAGCCGACAAACATACACACATATATACATATATACATACACTGACTTTTATAAATATACTAGCGGATGTGTACCCGGCTTCGCCCGGGTTTTATCCGAGTGAAAGTTTGCCTAACGAATATTATATATTATGAAGTATAATAAACAATGCTAAAGATTAGTTTTAATTATTAATCAAGATTGTGTGTGAATATGTGAGAAAGATGTAATATCGTTGTTGTTTTCTTGGCCGACTGTTTTACATATGGTGTTATCTTAAAATTGCTTGTTTTGAATATTTTTTCAGATTGAGTTGAATGAATTGCTGATTTTTTTTGTATTTATATATAAATAAAATTAACTCTGTTGAATTTTTTTGTATTTTATCGATAACAGCAAAGTTATATATTTTAAAGTTAGGAAAAATATTTTGATGTTAAGCAAAACCTGCTCCATCTCGTTTTACATAAATGTTGAAAATTTGGTCGAAATTGATGCATTGTAACGAAAGTTTTTAGCGAACACCACTTATGAAATTTCCATTTATATAGAAGATATAATATAAATGAGTTTTAAAAATTGTTTTAAAAAAATGCATCAGCCGGGAATCGAACCCTGGCCGCCCGCGTGGCAGGCGAGCATTCTACCACTGAACCACCAATGCTTTAAAAAAATCAAATTCATTTATCGTCGCGACCAGTGCTGCGCCCTAGCGGCAAAAGACTGGAACTAACGCTTTTTGGTTTTTCATTTTTTAAAAAAAGCACATTAACTTTTTTAGTTTTTTGAATAGCCTATATGTTAAACGAAATCTTCAGCTACCTACATGCGAAATTCCATAATGATTGAGTCAGTAGATTTTGCGTGATGCGATAACAAACATCGATTTCGCATTTCATTTTTATATATATAAGGAAAGGACTAGACGAATGGCCCGGGCAACGCCCGTGTTTTACCCGATTGAATGTTTTTATTCAAATACTATTTGTTACAATTATAAATTGGAGCCGTGGATGTCACTCTTGTGAAACGTCCCGCTCCAAACTTTACATGTACATTAGGTATGCCGGCGGCGCGCGCCCGTTGGCTGCCGGCGAGCACGTGACCTCCCTGTGCGCGCGCATCCGTGACAGAACTGGCCCATGACGGTCGTGACTATATATATATAGATAATAATAATAATATAATAATAATAATAATTATTATTATTATTATTATTATTATTATCATAAGATAATGATAATGATCATAATGATGATGCGCGCGCATCCGTGACATGAGGAATTGAGGAATTGAGGAGGAAAGACGGTCGTGACTATATATGTTGATAGAGATTTGAAGTATTCCATATTCACCAATATCCATATCAATAGCTCATCATCTAAGGAAATTCGGAATTAAACCTTTTTGTAACAACACACCGAGGATAACTTTCTTGCTAAAGCAAGCAATGTGTTGTTACCATTTATATCTCAGAGGATTCTATCTTCCAATTAAAACTTTTTCACAGCAACTCTCCCAATATATAATACAATATAATGCGGATTATGATTGTAGAACGACATTTGAAAATTATCCGGCATATGTTTCTTTTGAACGAAAAATCGAAATTTAGTTTAAGGAGAAATAACGATTATTTCTAACCTTAGGGATGAAGTATGAAAGAATGAATTGTGTAGAGTAATGATAAACGGAAAATAAAGTGTCCAGGGATGGGAATGCGGGATAATTTTCAAATTGTCGATAATTTTTATTCAAATACTATTTGTTACAATTATAAATTGGAGCCGTGGATGTCACTCTTGTGAAACGTCCCGCTCCAAACTTTACATGTACATTAGGTATGCCGGCGGCGCGCGCCCGTTGGCTGCCGGCGAGCACGTGACCTCCCTGTGCGCGCGCATCCGTGACAGAACCGGCCCATGACGGTCGTGACTATATATATAGATAATAATAATAATATAATAATAATAATAATAAATATTATTATTATTATTATTATCATTAGATAATGATAATGATCATAATGATGATGCGCGCGCATCCGTGACATGAGGAATTGAGGAATTGAGGAGGAAAGACGGTCGTGACTATATATGTTGATAGAGATTTGAAGTATTCCATATTCACCAATATCCATATCAATAGCTCATCATCTAAGGAAATTCGGAATTAAACCTTTTTGTAACAACACACCGAGGATAACTTTCTTGCTAAAGCAAGCAATGTGTTGTTACCATTTATATCTCAGAGGATTCTATCTTCCCCCCAATTAAAACTTTTTCACAGCAACTCTCCCAATATATAATACAATATAATGCGGATTATGATTGTAGAACGACATTTGAAAATTATCCGGCATGTGTTTCTTTTGAACGAAAAATCGAAATTTATTTTAAGGAGAAATAACGATTATTTCTAACCTTAGGGATGAAGTATGAAAGAATGAATTGTGTAGAGTAATGATAAACGGAAAATAAAGTGTCCAGGGATGGGAATGCGGGATAATTTTCAAATTGTCGATAATTGTTGATAATTGTCGTTCTCCCAATATATGTTCATTTCTAAGAAAAACTCCATAACAAAGAACAATAGTATTAATTGCCCTATACTACCACTTCCTATGAGAGGGACCATCTGAATACTTAGGTATTGGATAACTGAGCAAATTAAGAGGAAATAATCCGCTGTTTGGTCTTAATTCTAGTATTGGGCAAGGAATTGGATCCCTTCCTTTAAAATGTTCGCGTAGTATGCTTATGCATAGCCATGGCCATTTAGGATGGTTGTTGAAAGGCCCTCATGTGCCATATACTCCATAGAATGCAAATATTTCAAAACCAAATATGTAGGTGAAACTGGAAGACGTTTAGTTACAAGAATATCTGAACATACATAACATTTGCCCAAAATGTGAACGGGTTACCCTTACATCACCCGCTCAAGTCCATCTGGGAAGTCCCCCCGGGATCATCTGAAGAGATTTAGTGGTGGTTCTGGTAAGGAGAGCAAGTCAAGAGGTGAGTCCCGGGTGTGTACAAGTTATAGATACTATAGTGAGCAGATAGTTAAAGAAAGGTTATGTATAAAGTGACATTAGAGTTATAATACAGTTACAAGTTCATGGGCAGCCAGGGAAATGATGGGAGGGTTTAATCATTATTTTATTTATTTATTTATTTTTGTTTTTTCTATAATACCTTTATGGTCATAATATCTGATATCTCAATATCTGAACATGAACGAAATACTGTATAGAGAATCAAGACACAAAATATCATTAATATATCAACATATAAGAGAGATAATGAAAAAGGTTTATTGACTTCTAGTCAACGGTTAAAAATATTATATAAACAAAATTTAAAAAATCTAAATTTCTAATTATTTGTATTAGAGGGAGGACGTCCTCGCGTTTCTCTCACCCGAGCAGAGCTCTGCTCTGAAGAAATTCCTTGACATGGAAATCGCCCATGTCGGGGACAAGGACTCCGACCTAGGCAAGATGCTGTCCGACTTCAGGGCAGAATGCGACATATAAAAGAGAAAGATCATTCCTTCACCAAACCAAAGACCCATTACTCCAACATCTCCAATAAACACAACAGAGGCTCATCATGGAATCCATCATATCCAGAAAGCACAATAGCATTAACAGAAGAATATACATTCCACAAATTTATAATATACTATTCCCCCTGAACCCACCCCATAACCTCCAAATGAAGATATCGGCTCTGAATAGCAAATTCGATAAACGCGCGCAATGGAAACCCATGTTAAATCTGCACTTTAAAAAAATATTAATAACTGTTTTAACACCCTATATATGTACTAGATTATATTTTAACTCTAGTCTTTTTTTTTTTTTTTTGATAATGAAAGAAAAGCCATCCACGAACGCGTTTCGAGGTGTTGGCTCTCATCAGCGTGAAGCAAGCTGTATTTATTGCAACTAAAAATCTTTTGATCCCAGAGGCTTCTTGAGAAACCAAGAAATGGGTATTTAAGGCTAAACTTGGCGTAAATAACTGCGTAAATTATTTTTTTTTCAATTATTTTTCACATAAATATATATATATGTCGAATCTGTCGTGGTCGAATGGAAGGGGGCAGCCATTGTACATGTAAGCTTCGAAAAAATAATATTTCCACACTCGTGAGCCTGCGCGCGCGGCGGCGTGCCGTAGCATTCGCCCGCGCGCGCTAGCTCCCACGTTTATTTGTTACAGATTTATAGATAGAAAAATTTGCATTTACATTTTAACATATTAATTATGGCAAAAATAAATTATATCTCTTGGGCATTATACAAATTATGACATGTGCTCGTGGTCAGGAGATGCCTTCTTTATTTTTAATATATATATATTATTTTATTTATTTATTTAAATATTTATTTATATGGATTGCTCTATTTTCAAAACAACAAATATATATATTAAATAATTTTTTAAAAAATCAATATAAATAAAAAATATTTTTAAAAAATAATAATATTCTGTTTAAGTGCCAAATACTATTTTCGAATATTATGCTTATTTTTCGCTTTAAGTTTTCACGTCATTTTTTATTTTCACCACTTTAGTACGCTACAGGAATCCTGGTTTCATCAAAAAGTGAGATATTTTCACTATTTCTGTTAATACTTACCTGAATTTATCAAACCTCAAGATGAACCCAATAAGTTGTCGATTTTTTCTAGGCGAAGGATGCCAGGAACCTAAAACCTGTCCTTTCCTGCATAACCCAAATGGTCAACCTGACAATGTCTGCCGATTCTTCCTGAAAGGTCAATGCATCCTTGAAGAGTTCTGCAGGTTGGAGCACCGAATCCCTCCAAGCCGAAGAAGGCAGAAAGCCGGCGTGTTTTACAATGGCAACTTTCCAGCGCCCTACGTACCAACTCCCGCCAACTACGTTTGTGTGACATGTACCACTACAGATAGTCATTTCAAGGTATTCGAAAATTGCGACCATGCTATTTGCTCCCAATGCACCCCAACTTTAAAGAAGAACACAAATAATTTCCTCATTTGTCCTAGTACAGGATGTCAACCATCTCAAATACTGATTAGTGCAGAATATCACCTGAATGATGAATTGAAGGGAAGAATAGCTAGAATGACAAGAACCAAATGTAAAGAGATACTTTGTAAATTTAACCAGAATTGCCTATACAAGTCCAGTTGCCTCTATGCCCATGTCGATTTGCCAAGGTTTGTGGACATCTATAGCGATGAAGATAAGGAGAGGTTGAACCTCCTGCTCAAGAGAAAGCCGGAAGCTGTTGAGGTGGCAAAGAAGAACACCACGCCACCTCAGTAAAACATGGTAATTTACTGCTGTATATATACATGGTTATAGTTGTATATTTACTTCTTTTGCATACATTATATATATAATTCATTAAAATGGCATATTTTAGATCAAATATAATTTATTTTCCAATATTTCAGTTAGCTGAACGCCAAACTTTTTCAAAGATGTATTAACGTATTTATGTAAACAGCAAACTCAGCGCCGCATAACTTCAATACAATTAAGTTTAAAATATATTTTTTGCCTAAATTCAATAGGAAGGGGGGAAATTGCATACAGTGGACCCTCGGTTTACGAGCACCTTGGAGTACGAGCTTTTCGCAGTACGAGCAAAATTTTTTG